GTAGGGCAGCTTGCTTCATCAAAGCCAGCATGGGAGTCATTACAGCCTGCTAGGAAGATGGAAGTTAAAACCTTACATAATTACAAAAGTGACATTCCATCACCTTTGTCATATCCTAATAGAAGAATATCCCAGACCCCACTTATATTTAAGAGGTGGGATTACACAAAGGCGTAAATTTCAGGAGGCAGGGATCATTGCAGGCCACACTGGAATTTGTCTACTCCAATCCGTTGCTTTCTTTGGCTCTTGGCTTCACCCTCTTGTACCTTCCATGCTCTATTGTCCTCCTTGGACACTTATGAAGACAGCAGTGTAAAATATGCCTTTTCAGCAACTTTCATAGCTTGCTTCCTACCCAGGAGCCCAGAGTCTTTCTACATGTAGTTCCTTTTAGTCTAGGTTAATACCACTTTCATTAGTGTAGCTCTCTAAAGTTTTCTGGGGAAAACTCTGATTGGAGTCCACTCTATGCGCAAAAGGCCACACCCACAATTATTTGTGAGCTCCCCCCATCAGTCTTAATCATTGATACTCTAGGTGTGTCCAATGGCTGTGGAACAATCTTAATCGTTCCTGAAAGCAGCTGGAAGGATCTATTAGCTAGTGCCTTGATTCCTTCAGAGGGGTGTATGTAGCTCAATGGGAGGGTGTGTGTTTAGCATGCATGAGGACCTGGGTTCAATTCCCAGGATTAAAACCAAAACCAAGCAAAAACCAAAAAGTCATGGAAAAATATCTCAAAGCCCTTGGTTTCGTTTTTTACTTAAAGCCAAGTTTTCATTTCATAATCTTATTCTGGCTTTAAAGGATGAAGATGAGAAAGTTATTATTCCAATGTAGTACTTTGTAGTCCCTCTAAATTCTTTCTACTTAACATCTGACTGATTCTTTGGAGTAACAGCAAGCTGACATTTCCAACATTTCACCTAGACATCTCTTTTCCAAGGCTAAATGTTCTGTGGGTACATTTGCTGGCTTCCAAGTCACCTTCAGGTGGTAACATGGGTCACCATTTTTTTTCTACTCTCCTGGCATTTTGGTTTTTGGCTTCCTATAATGGTTTTCTCACCATTTTTCCAGCTTCCTTCCGTAGCCTAGTTCCAATGTTAAATATATCAGGTTTTTGTTTTGGCACTAATTTCCATCAGTTATCGCTGTGTAATAAATCAATTTAATCTCAATGCCTTAAAAAATAATTATTTGGCTGGGTAGTCCTGGTCTCCTCTGGGCTCCCTCATATGTCTGAGATAGTCAACAACCCTAAGGTTGAAACTGAATGGCTTCGGTCAGGTCCATTTAGCTACAGAATTTTCATGACAAAGGCAGAGAGCACAAGTGGGAGTAATCCAATTTTGCATCACATTTATGACAATCCCATTGCTAAAGCAAGTCACATGTATGGCCCAGAATCACACAGGGATGGCACAACAGAATTCCATGGCAGGTTATGAGGTTACAGGGACATGTAAAGATTTGGGCTGTTTTCTGCAACCTTCCATACAGGATCAAGTTATGTTTGCTTCCTAAAATAATCAGGAGGTTTTTTTTTTTTTTTTTTCTTTTCTAGTGTTTTGGTCAGTGAAGATTTGGCAGAATTCCCCATTTAACCTCTTTTTTACAGGGTAGTTCTTTGATAATTGTTTCTATTTCCTTTAAGAAAATTAGTCTATTTAAACTTCCTATCTATTGGAATCACTTTAGTATATTGTATTTTCCTAGATCATTATCCATTTAATTTAAGTTGTCATATTTAATTCCATCCAATTGTGAAAAATAATCTTTAAGATTAAATTTTTTTCACTATTTTTTTCCATGTATTTCTGCATTCTCCCCTTACATTACATAATGGTTTGTCCATGTTTATTATCAAATTTCTATTCATTTATCCTATTTTTTGTTCATTTTCCTAACCTGTGTGTTCTCATCCTTATTTTTTCCTTTTTCACTTGGTTATTCTTCTTTTCCCTTTTGAGTTGGATATCAATTCATTTCACTTTTCATTTTTATCAGTATTCCAATATTATAAGCTAGATTTCATTTGCTGCTTTAATTACATAACATCAATTTCATTATTAATCATTTTTCTGAGAAGTTCTGAAATTTTGATTTAGCTTCTTTTTTTTTTTTCCCCAAGAGTAGTTTAACGGGAAGCTTTTCTCCAGGTAAGACTTTTTTTTAAAAAGTGTTCTATTAATTTCTCATTTCATTGCATTGTGGTTAAAGTTTCTATTATTATTTTGTGCAAGTTACTGGGGTTTTCTTTATAGTATAATAAATTATCAATTTTGTCAGAATAGATAATATTACCAAGGTGTGAAACTCAATATATATTCAAAAGATCTACTTTATAGAAACTGTTATTTAGATCTCTAATATCCTATGTAGTTCTTGTTGCCTCGACTTCAGTCTTGAATAAGAGTGCTGTGTTAAATTTCTTTATTACTTCTAGCTATTTTTCTTTGCAGTTTGTTGTACAAATGTCATATGCTTTGACAAGCCAGAAGCAACACAACTAGAATAATGAAAAACAAAAGGGAAAGAAAAGTACAAAGAACTCTTTGTTACACAGGCAATAGGTGGGAGTTGAAGAATATCATTCAAAGTTCACAAGCCGAGCAGTTCAGACTATAACATTCATAATTAGTGTATCTTTATTTCGCATTGAATATCATAATGCTCTTCTTTTCCTGAATTTTACCCTGTTAGAAATGAATTGTATGAGAAATTATATCCCATCTGATTCAAATGTACGATATGTCAAGATAATTGTACTGTCATGTGTAACTAATTAAAAACAATTAAAAAAAAAAAAGAAATGAATTGTAAACCTTGCCTTCTGTGGTTCCTATTTGTCTGGTATGCTATTGCCTATCCTTTTACTTTTTAGCCTTTCTGAATCACTTATTTAGGTTTGCCTCTTGTAAATAACAGACATGCTGATTTGTAAGTCAATCTGAAATTCTTTTCAATAGGTGGATGAAGTCCACATACATTTATTGATGGGATTCACATGCTTGGATTTATTATTTACTATGTGAATGATGCTATATTCACTACATTTTCCACTTACTTATTGTCTCTTTGGGTATTGAGGGAGATTTGCATTTTTATTCTAGTGATGATATTGTTTATACTATACTATTGCCTTCAATAGTATAGTATACTTTAATGCTCTTAATTCCCCTTTCTCCTTACTTAAACCTCAAACCTTTGGTTTGTCAATTTTAAATAATGTTTGACTCCTACATATTGCTTATGTCATGAAGAACTCTTATACTTTCCTTTTTCCCTCTCCCTTCTTTTCCACTTTTCTAGTTGTCTACCTCTGTCAAAGCATGTACCATTTGAAATTATTCTTTCACCCTTACCCCCGCTTGCATTTGGAGGTCAGATCTACAACTAAAGATGTACTTTTGCTCAAGTTTCCCCAATCATTTCCTAGTTGGATGAACCTTCTCTTTCTGTAAAAGTTATAATATTCCCTGAGCTCTTGCATAATTAAAACTTCCTGCTATGTCTTTGGATTTTAAAGGACAGCTTAACTGGATATAAAAATCCATAGTTCATATTTAAAAAAAAAAAACTTTTTGAAATTGTCACTCCATTGCTATTTTGCTTTGTTTAGAAGTCTAACACCAACCTGATCTTCCTCTGTAAGGGACTAAATCTTTGGCCGGGAGAATTTTTCTTTTAGCTTCATAATGTAATAGTTTGCTGCAGTAGGTCTCAGAGTTGATCTTTTGGGGCCAATTTCTACAAGTGACAAGAGTGATCTTTTCAAGATCTAGTTTCAGGGGTAAGAGGTAGCTCAGTCATGGAGCACTTGCTCAGAGTGTTCAGAAGTTTCTTTTGGGAAATTCTAAATATTAACACCATTTCAATTTCTTTTTCTTTTCTTTTTTTTCCTTCAGGAGCTCCAATTTACCCATGCTGTCTCTTCTTTGCCTATCTTCTTTGCATTCCTGCCTTCTTTGAGCCTTACTGTACTACAGCGGTTATCTACTTTCATTTGGATGTGTTGGAATTTAGTCTCCATATTGTCACGACTTTATCTTTTTGTTAAAATTCTTTCCCACATTCGAAAAGCTTTTTCATTTTGTTTTTCAATTTGTGATTTGTGGTTTTCTTTCACATCCACGAATTTTTAATTGATTTAAAATTTTCTGTTGGAGAGCTGTGTTACAGTTCACTCTGTTTCACGGTCCAAGAGAGCCCTTTTCTATTGATTGATGTAAAATTTCTTTAACAAGCAATATCCAGATGGTGATGAGGGAGTTGTGTTTTCTTCTGTATCTTGGAGTTGCTGTTATCTTTTGATTTTTGCTTCCTTTTCCCCTTTTTACCCACCAACCCCTGAGGGACACCACTCCCTTTCAGCATGGCTTCATCTCTTAATAGAAGTGACACTCTGGTCCTAGTCACAGTCTAAGCACCTCCCTTTTGAGTTTCCACCAGGATTATTCATCCACCAGGTCTCAGACCTGCCTGCAGCATCTTGCCACTCTGGATGAGTCCATAAGTATTTTGGTTTAACTGGAATCAGCAAAGGTCTGTGACAGAAGAAAAATCTGGAGGATTTTAACAGGAGTAAGATCACAAAGGACTTTCTATGGAAGCTTTTGCAAATAATTGATCCAGAAATAGAGAGATATAAAGTAAAACAGGAGCAGTGGAGAAGAAGGAAGAAGGAATCCAATTTCCATAAAAATATAGAAAGATAACTGAAAGTGAGATCAGTTCTTTACCTGATGAAAATACTCCAGATAAAAAAGAAATCAATGGGAGTTCATAACCCACTTGAATGGGAGTTCATAACCCACTTGAATGGGAGTTCATAACCCACTTGAATCAAAGTGTGAAATATGATATATCAAGAACTATGTAATGTTTTGAACAACCAACAATAAAAATTTTAAAAAAATTAAAAAAAAAAGAAATCAAGAATTTGGAAAATTCTCCCAGAAACATGATAAAATATCTTCAAAAACTGAACTGCAATGAGAAAGAGAAGAGAGCCCTAAAATCCACCACCTGGGAGATGGCCCAACCAGATCCAGAGTCTAGTAGACTCTGGGCAGAACTGAGGGAAGGCATGAGAAGTGTGTCTACCAGGACTATTAGTTCTTTTCAGGTGGGAAATGGTGAATTACACCAGGTGGATGTGGGGAGAAACTGGGTGACCCATAAAGGGACAAGTGCTGTATGCAGAGAAGGGTGAGCATATGAAGGAAGGAGGGTGTGAGACAGGAGAAGTCCTGGGAAGGCACCTAGGAGGGTGAAATGAACAGGGCAGAAACAGCTGGGAGGGCCAGGGTATAGGAGAGAAGTGTCTGTGGGCTCTGGGTGATGGGAGATGATGAACAACAGGGTCAAGGTATGGGGTGGGGCATCTGTGCTTGGTGAGCATAGTCAGGGCCGGGGTAGGCGAGGGAGAAGGCATTGTTTCTCCCATTCTGCTGATTAAGGTCCCAAGATCAGCTTTCATTCTGCCTTTGAAAATAGAAAGGTCACAATTTTTAGTGGATATATTCCAGAGTCGGTGTTATCCTGCATCCTTGAATGAAAGACAGGAAAGGAGAGATGCTCTCTCGACCTAGGGCGTAGGGCACTATTAGCCCAAATATCTTCAGGAAGATGTGCTGAAGTCAGCTTCAGGATGATCCTGGATGGGCAGGAGCACTCTGAGGAGTCAACATGAGCAGGAAGAGCGGCTCAGAACAGGGAAGACAGTCCCTGTTGTTCAGGGCTGTGTTTCCAAGTGGGATCAGTGAATCCGGGCAGGCAGGGGTGGCAGGGGTGCCTGGGCCTGCAGAATTCATTCCAGAGGCCTTTGGGTCCGGAACAAGATTCTCTGTTCAAGTTTAGCATACCGGGGGAGAAGGGCCTCATAGACCTACAAGGGCAGAAAGAACAATTTAGGACAGGAGGGGAGGGTGCTCTGACATCTGGTTGCAACTTGCAATTTAAAAAATTTAAATCCTATTAGCTTGCAATTTAGCTTTTTTCCTAGACAAAGGAAAGGAAGCATCAATTCATGAAAGAGGAAATGTTGTCAGTAGGAGCATGGTAGTATGCCTGTAATCACAGTGACTTGGGACTCAGAGTTAGGAGGACCACAAGTTTAAGGCCAGCCTAAGGCAACCAAGGAGACCCTGTCTCAAAAAAAAAATTAAAAAAAGGGATGGGGATATGGTTCAGAGGTAGAGCACTTGCCTATCATGTGCAAAGCCCTGGGTTCAATCCCCAATACTGAAGAAAATAAAAAGAACTGCTATTAGTTCTCAAACTTGTATTTTAAGACTTTTTTTTAAACTGTACATTACGATAAGAAACCAATTTTTGTTATCAAATCTACAAAAGTTAAAAAAATTCTGGTGAGGGCAGTTGGGAATGATTGTCTCACTGTATATCTGGTGAAAATTGATGGGACAACCCTTGTGGAAATCAACTTGACTTCATATCTGTATTAAGGGATCCTTAGTCTGTGACCTGGTTGTTATACTACTGTGAAACTCTAGTAAGGAAATAATTCTACATGTAGGGTCTTCAGCCCAGTAGGAGTCCTCTTAGATACCTCTAAACATTCAGACTCATATGATTGCCATGGGCCACACCTTGGCCCTCAGAAGGGTATAGACTGGAGAGATCTTGGCCAGCATTCCTCTTCAATGGGGACCACAGGGTGGTCCATCCAGCATTTCCCACAGTGGTCCAGGAGAGGGTCTTTTTACCTGCCCACCTTTCTCCCTCTTGCCTTCCACATTACAGTTCAGGTACCTTCCAATACCTGCCTCTGAACACAGCTGCATGAGAGCATGATGTTTGAAGCAGCTCTGACATCCTGAGACCACATGGGACACATCTAGAGCTGCACTATCCAAGAGAACAGCCACAAGCCAGTGTGCCTTTGCATACCTGAAGCCTGCCTAGAACTGTAAGATCAAAATACACACCAAATTTCAAAAGCTTCGTACACATACAAAAAAGAATAAAATATCATAATAGTAAATTTTTTCCTTTTTTCCTAACTCTGGAACTGAGAATTGAGCAACAAGGTGCTCTATCATTGAGCTACATTCCTTGTCCTTTTTATTGTATTATTTTGAGACTGGGTCTCACTAAGTTGTCCAGGCTAGTCTTGAATTTATGGTCCTCCTGCTTCAGCTTCCCGAAGAGCTGGGATTAGAGCAACTTGTGTGCACAAGTTGGCTACAGTAGTAATTCTTCTAACTGGTTACATGTTGTCATGGCAATATTTTTGATATGTTGGATTAAATACAATATATTATTGAAATTAATCTTATTTATTTTTACTTTTGAAAAATGAGACTATTGGGAAGTTTTAAATAACACAGGCGGCTCACATTAGGTTCCCTTTGTCCATTGCTGATCTGGGGAACTGCAAGGAACATTACTCAGACTTCTGATGCTGAACCACCAAACCAACACTATCTTCAGAATTCCCATCAGTGTCAGCAATATTTGTGCATTCCAGCTGACAATCTCGCTTCTTTTGCCCCATTTTCTTGATAATTTCAAAACAGGATTTCCTCTTCAGTTGAACACATCAAATTTAATGTATATGATAAAAAAAAAAAAACTAACCTTTTTGGGAAAAAAATACCCTGGTCTGCTTTCACAGTGCAAATGCATGACAAAATATGATGGTGTCTCACCTGAGAAGCTACTGGGCTTGGAGTAGCAGCTAGTCTTGGATTTGGGGCTAACTTCACGACCTCTGTAAAGGGCACGTCTTTTCCACCTGTAGTTCAAGAAGGGAAAGATCATTTCCTGTCTGTGCATGTTGCAAAGGATCACATTGGGGTGACAAAATGTCCTAAATCTAGGGGTTTGGTTCTAAGCCAAGATCATGCTTAGCATGTTCAAGGCCCTGGGTTTGATCCCCAGCATCAAGACAAAATCAAAACATTCTAAAACTGGATTATGGTGATGGTTGCACAAATCAGCAAATTTACTAAAAATATCACTGAGTTGTACACTTAAAATAGGTGACTTTTGTGTCACATACTGTACCTCAATAAATTTGGTTTTTTTAATATTTATTTTTTAGTTATAGGTAGACACAATATCTTTATTTGATTTTTTTATGTGGTGCTGAGGATTGAACCCAGTGCCTCACATAGGCTAGATGGGCACTCTACCTCTGAGCTACAACCCCAGCCCCTCAATAAATTTGTTTTTAAAAAAAGAAAAAAAAATTCAAGTCAGACTGCTCTTCAGCATGGGCCTAGTCTGTCTTGCTTGCTGTAGAGTGGCCTTTCATGGCATGGCCAAGCCAACCCTCAGAAGCAGACAACCTGCCTGTCTTCCCTTGTACTGCTTCACTCTCCCATTGCTCACCATGTTCTGACCACCCTGGTCTTCTTTCCACATGTTTTGCCTTAGAATATTCTTTCCCTCTTCATGTACCTATTTCCTTTTTAGATATTTGCTCCTAGGAAGCTCACTAGTTCAGGAGGCCTCCCCCAGCCTCCAACCCTGAGCACCATCTACTTTTCCCCATAGCACTTTCTGTAATTTGTTAGGTGATTCTTTGTTTTGTATGGGAATTGAACCCAGGGCCTTGCACTTGTCAGGAAGGCACACTGCCAATAAGCCACATTGCCCTGGGTGATCCTTTGTTTAAAGTCCCTCCTTTGCCAAGCTACAAATTCCAAGAGGCCAGAGACTGCATCTCTCTGAGTCACCACCATACCCATAGCCTAGCACATGGTCTGGCACATAGGAGGCACTCAATCATAGCTCATCAAGCAAACTCATAGCAGAGCTGGAAAGGGGGGAAGGCTGCTACGGGTGGGCAAGAAGCAGTATGGAAATCCTAGGCATTTTAAGCAGGGGTGTCAGATGGCCAGAGTAATGCATCAGCACCCTGAGCAAAGGAGAGTCCCCTGAAGACGTAAGAACCAGTTTTCCCAACTAGGTGCTAGAAAATCTCATGCCAGAGGGGTATGGATTAGGGAGTGGGATGGGTGGTGGGTGGCCAGCTGAGAAACAAATCAAAGACTCTGTTCCTGGCTCCACTCACATTCACAACCCTGCTGCAGGAGAGGTTCATTCCCAGACCAGCCAGGGAGGAGAAAGCTCCAAATAAAGCAGCTAACAGGCCTTGAGGTTGAGCTAGGATTCAGATCAGGCTTTGGTTTTGGAGGGCAGAGCAGGGCAACAGACCCAGTCCCCTTCAGCAACTAAAGGAGCATAGAAAGGGAAAATAAAATCAAAACATAGGATAACATAGGAGTGAAGTCCCTAAAGGGTAACTCCTTCCCATTTCTGCAGTAGGAGGAGTATCGTATGGACTCTAGACTTTTCCTTGGCAATGCTGAAGGCCAGATTAGGCAACAGCATTATCAAGGTTCTTGGGAAAAGTACTCTGAACTCAGATTCCTTTACCCAGCATTCTTTGGGACATTGAAACCAAAACTTTGCTGGACATGTCAGGCCTCAAAATTATCACTGGCTGGATTCTATCTTAAAATATTCATTTAGAGGATTGGGTGTGTAGCTCAGTAGCAGAGTACTTGTCTAGCATGCATGAGGCCTTGGGTTTGATCCCCAGAACCACAGTCAATCAATCAATCAATCAATTCATTTCGTTTGTCAATAAAACTAGCATAGAAATAGAGATGGATATTGAACCTAGGACCTCACACATTCTAGGCAAGTGCCTCTACCAGTGGCTATACCCAGCCCTTAGCATGATTTTAACCTATTACATCCTATCATTCTATATATAGGATACCTATAAAAACACTTCAGTAGGGCAACAGTTATACCACCTATGGTCACTTTGAACATTTTCCTAGCATGTGCAAATCCCTGGGTTTGATCCCCAGTGCCAAAACACACACACACACACACACACACACACACACACACACACACACACTATAAAACAAACAAACAAAATTAGTAGAGACAAAAGAAAATACAGAGAGTTGGAAGAAAGACTCATAGTTAAGTGCAAATAAGAGCTAATATGATGTAAAATATAATTAAAAATACAACAATCTGGAAATAAAACCCCTAGTGATCTTGATATAAGAGGTGGGTTGAGGAAGATGAGGCAAAGGGAGAGGAATAAAGAAGGTTAATTGTTGAGGAAATATCTGTGATTTATTCTCAACATTAAAAGAAAACTATAAGTCTGAATAAGTATGTTGAAGAGTTGTGAGCAAGCATGCAAAAGACTGGAAGCACTAGAGAGGGAAGGGACAAAGCCCTGGAGGTACACGGCAGCCAGAAGCTCCCTCAGCAGGCAGGAAACAGGGAAAACTGGTCCAAATTGAGGGAGACCGCCCTTGCGGGCAAGAGCTGCTCCCTCCAGAACTCTCCTGGATGAGGATGCTATCTGGAGGTTTTGAGGGCCTCAATCAGAGCATACACGGAGCTGTCCAGGGTGCTGGAATGCTTGGTTCTGAAGCCTCCACTATTGTCTCAATGTCCTGCTCTTGCTGAACGTAGGGCTCAGCTTTATCCACCTCTCCTGCCCACCATCTGTCCAGACCCAGGCCCATGTCCACTCAAGCATGTCCTGTGCCCTATTCCAGTGTCCCTCTGCAGAGCCAGATTATCACAGAGGACTCATTCAGAGGTGTCCCAGAGCACCCCATGGGACAAAGCTAAAGCAGATTCCAGCCCAGATCTCTACATCCTGTCTCGATTTTAAGTAGAGAATAAAGGAACGAAGGGCACAGGTTGGTCCTTGTTTGCTGGGAGAGATAAAGATGAAGCTAAAGTCCCCAAGTTCCCCAAAGTGGGAACACCTTACTTTCCCTTCCCACCCTCCTCAGCCCAGACAGTGCCAGAATGCTTCCAGAGACTCCTATCCCTCATTCATCAACCTACCATGAAAAGCTCGGTATGCAGAGCCCACACAGGCTGAGTTGGCAGTGTCTATGACATACACCGGGGCGCCAAATACATCTGCAAGCACCTGGGAAGGACACAGAGTTTTTATGGTGGTGAGTCATTCCTCAGAGGACACAAGGACATTTTGGAATAAATTTCCAGACTCTCCTTGTGGTGGTGCATGCCTGTGATCCCAGCTCCTGAGGCTAGGGCAGGAGGATTACAAGTTCAAGCCAACCTCAGCAACTTAGGGAGACCCTAAGCAACTTAGCAAGACCCTATCTCAAAATAAAAATATAAAAAGGGCTGGGGATGTGACTCAGTAGCTAAGCACCCTTGGGTTCAACCCCAAGTACCAAAAGAAGAAGAAATACACATAGCCACGCTGCCCCGGGGATAACAGAGGAAGGGTGACCTAGGGGAAGTCCCTAGTGGAGGGCAACAGCTCTCCAGGCTATCCCTGTACTTTTAAACCATTTTAACAAGACAAGGCAGGAGATTTAGGAGGCATGATTACTAAATGCCACTAACAGCTAGGAAAGAGACTAATGTTAACAAGCACAAACTAACAAGGGAACTTTATTTATTTATTATTTTTGGTATAGGGGATTGGGCCCAGGAATACTTTACCACTGAGCTACATATTCAGTCCTTTTTATTTTTCATTTTGAGACAGTTTCTGAGGGTCACTAAGTTTCTGAGGGTCTAAGTTGCCAAGGCTGGCCTCAAACTTGTGATCTTCCTACCTCAGTGAGCCAAGGATTAAACTGGGATTATAGGCATGCAGCCAAGGACACATTTTATAAGGATCATGATGAAGCTCTTCATTTAGGTACAGAAATTAAATTGCATAAATTTAGAATGGAGGAACTGTCTTAAGATGATTTCACATGGAAAAGACTGGAGGGAAGGTCTTATAATTGCCCAGAGGTATTATAGTAGATGCCACTGGCACCCCACCAGGATTCTCTTCACTGGATCATGTGTATCCCCCACCCAGCTGCTGAGTATTGGAAGCTAAGGGCTCACAGTACTTCTTGAGAACAAATTTTGGCTGAACAGAGGCCACCTCTCAAGGATTATGCTCAACCCTCTCCAAGGCAGTTAGTTAGCCCTACTGCCCAAGGCAGAACTAGCTCAGTAGTTAATTCATGCTCAAGAGCACCCCAGAGGACAAAGCTAAAGCAGACTCCAGATCATATCCTTGCTTATTCTTTTTCCCCAACCCTGTCCCGAGTTCCATACTCCCTTCTTGTTGGGAGTACTGTCAACAAACAACTTATAGAAGAATCCTCACTTCAGGCTCTGCTCCTAGATAATCTTACCTAAGACAGGTATGCCAGAATGCAGCAGTTGAGGTCATTACTCAAATAGCTAAGGCAACCACAGGCTAAACCCCAAAATGTACAGTGTCCCCTTAGGAGGAGCTAATGGCTGTACAATGTGATAGCCTGAGTGTCAGACATGTGTAGATTGATTTTACTTTGGGTCATATATTTCTAGCATAATGGAGGACCAGAGGGATAGAGACAAAGCCTGGAAACTGTGTTACAAGAGGAATGGTTGGAAAGTCAGAGAGTTAAATTGGAAGGGAGAAACATTAAGGAACAAGAACACTGTCTTAGATGTCAGAAGGCTCACACAGGGGAAGGACAGGCACTTCCCATGGGCTTCCAGAGGCCACTGCTGCTATCAGAGAGTGGACTATAAAAGACCGAAGAATTCACCTGGATGTAAGATGGAACCCACTCACAGTGGGAGCTATAAGGCCAAAGAGCTAGCTTCTGAGAGCGTTGAGTATGGGCTCCCCATTCCTGCAGGTGTGGAAACAGAGGCAGCCCTTCCTGTTGGCTCTTAGACATGACAGACATGGAAGGGGCCATGGCATGGGGTCCACTACCAGCACCTACCTGTAAGATGTCTCTATTGTGAGATGCCCCTCCTGTGGCCAGAATCTTTGTCTTGGGCACTGCAAGGAAAAAAAAAAAAGTGTAATGGCTGTGACAATTCCCCCACGGCAGAGAGGGCTGTTTTCCAGAGTTCTTCAGTCACTGAGTGATTGTGAGGGAGCAATGCCTCTTGTAATATCCATGACCAGGAAGAGAACCAAAGCTGATTCTGTCTACGTAGGCCTGTCACATGTAATTTGTTAGGGAGACTGCTGTCCATCCACCTTTATTGTCTTACATTTTCATTATTTTTTTTAAACCTCTCAAAAAACCAAGAATAGAAAGAAATTTCCTTAGATGATTAAAGGACTGTATAAGACAGAAGAATTCACCAAAATTTGCAACAAACACCATTCTTAACATAAAGGTTAAGAAGTATTATCTTTAAGACTGATATGCCAGCCAGACTCCAAAATGACCTCCAAATGACCCATGCCTCCCAATATCCATGTTCTCATGTAACCTCCTCACACATTCAACAGGGCTAACTCATGTAACCAACAGGACTTGTGTGCGTGACAGGGTAGGTATGAACTCCAAAGATATTGCAGCTTCCATCTTGCTCTGATGTAGATCATTCTCTCTTGGATTACTCAATTCAAGAGAAGCTAACTGCCATGTCATGAAGATACTCAAGCAGCCCCATGGAGAAGTCTCCATGGTAAGGAACCAAGGTCTTCTGCCAACAGCCATGTGAATATACCATCTTAGAAGCAGATCCTCTAGGCTTTATGGAGTCCTCAGAAGACTCGAGCTCTGGAAGATGGCTCAACTGCAAACTCAAGACAGACTCTCAGTAAGAACCACTAGGCAGAGCCAGGCTCAGTGGTATGCACCTGTAGTCCCAGCTACCTGGGATGCTCTGTTATGTGCCTATAGTCCCAGCTACTTGGGATGCTGAAACAGGAGGATCCCTTGAGCCCAGGATTTAGAGGTTATCCTGGGCAACATAAGAAGACACCTTTACAAAAAAATGCACAAAAAGAACCACTTGGATTATGCTGACTCAAATTCTTGATCCAAGGGAACTGTGTAAGATAATAAAGGCTGATTATTGTTTTAAGGGGCTAAATTTTGAGTTAATTTGTTAAAAAGCAATAGATAAATGATAGAATTCAGAAAAAAAGCAAAGATCCATAGTATGTAGTATTTAACATAGTAAGTGGCATACTCATCAATGCCATAAGAATTTCTGCAAATCAATTTTTAAAAAGGCAATTCAACAGAAAAATGGGAAAGGATATAAATAATCGGTTCAAAGAGGAAGAAACTAAAGTTACTCAAAGCTGTTCAAACTCATTAATGAAAGAAACATCGATTATACTAACACTGAGATATCTGTTTAGACCCACCCATCAGATGGGCAACAAATTTAAAGGTGGTTAATGCTAAGTGTTGGTGGTGATGAAACCCCTTCTCTCCATTCCTTGTCCCTGGTCTGACCTCAAGTGAAAAGTGAAGTCTTTAGGGTACAGTGGACAGAGAAGTAGAACCTGAAGTAACACCAAACTCCCATGGCAGACGGACAGATAGACGTGGACAGATAGACGTGGCTGCACTTATTTACTAGAAAAAGAAGCTGGGCTCATCTTTTAACCAGAATAATATCCTGCTCATTTTGGCATTTGAAGACATTGTAGGGAAGACTCCATCCAGCTTGACAGCATTTACAAGGCTCAAAGGCATCAAGTTAAATCTATCTTTTCACTGTTGTGTGGAAATGAAATGTCCCCCAAGCTCTGGTGTTGAAGGCTCGGTTCCCAATGCAGGAGTGTTCAGAAGTGGGGCCTCTGGGGGGTGATAGGATCACGAGGGTTCTAACCTCATCAATGAACTAATCTACTGACAGATTCATAGCTTAATGGGCTACTGGGAGGTGGTGGGAACCTTAGGAGGTAGGGCCTATTGGAGGAAGTAGGTCACTAGGGTATCCCCTTCAAGGGTAGATTTTGTTCCCAGCCCCTTTCTTTATGATCTCAGCCACCATGAGGTGAATAGCTTTGCTCCACATGTATTCCTTGCTATGACGTTCTGCTTTATTACAGGCCCAGAAACAACAGAGCCAAGTGAACATGAACTGAATGAAATCTCTGAGACTGTGAGCCAGTATAAACCTTTCTTCCTTTCAAATTGTTTCTGTCAGGTATTTTGCCATAGTGACAGAAAGTTAACACATTCACCCAAATACATAGCCTGTCTAGGTATCTCTTGTATTTGGGCAGGGAGGAAGGTCCACTAGGAAAAGAGACCTTGCTCCTGAAAAGGAAACCTAAGCTTCCTGTTTCCACTAAGAGATGTGATTCATTTAGCACCAAGAACCCCCAGTCACTCTGTTCTTGAAAAAGAAAATACAACCACAACAATAGCAAGAAAGAGAAGGATCGACGTGAACAAATAGAGTACTCTAGAAATAAGGGAATAACTCAAGGAATTAAAAAAGCCAATTTGAAATAAATCCTAATATGAATCTTCAGAAATATTTGAAGGAATATAACGTTCCAAAACCAAGGATCTAACACTATAAGAAAGAACCAGGAGACAAGAAAGAGTCCTAGAAATTAAAAAATAATGTATGGTTACAAAAATAAAAAACTAAATGGAAAGGCTAAATAATAAACACGGCAAAGTCAAATTTAATAACCTGAAGGATACAAATCAGGGAATTTCTTAAAACTAGAGTGGTAAACAGAGACAGAAAAAAATTAGACAAGACATAGCACAGAAAATGTGGCAGGTTCAACTTGTTTTATCCTTATATCAGCCCTATAACCTTCATTAATCCAAGGAGCTCTGGCTCCTTGGGTGGAGAAAGGTGTTTAAATTCGTTCTCTGGATGTTCTTTGCTACTGGGATTATGTTGCTCCCAGCCTCTTTCAGTGAGCTGAGCTAAGAAATACAGGGTGCAGACATACTTTCTCTCTCATCCTGCCCCTACAAACTAAAGAAATGGGGAATATATCAAGAGAGCAAAGGGCTAGTTTTAAAGAACATTCATTAGAACAGAAAAAGATGAAAATTACTCTTTTTAGAAATGGAAAAAAAAAAAAAAAGAAAAGAAAAGAAATGCAAAACTGAACACACAACATGTTATGGAATTTTTTTTTTTTGTACCAGGAAGTGAACCTAGAGGCATTTAACCAGTGAGCCACATCCTTAGTCCTTTAAAAAAATATTTTATTTAGAGACAGGGTCTTGCTAAGTTGCTTAGGGCCTCACTAAGTTGCTGAGGCTGGCTTTGACCTGGAAATCCTCCTGCCGCAGCCTCCCAAGCCACTGGGATTACAGGCATGCCGCCACCAGGCCCAGCTAACATCTAGCCTTTTGAAATGCATTAATCAAAAGACAATACAAAATAGGAATAAAAATATTAAAATATAGAAAAGGAAAAGGACTCAAATGACATAGAAGGAAGAAATATAAAAAGATAAAAGTTGGGCTGGGTCTCCCCAGTCAGAATGCCTATCATGGAGAATACAAATAACATGTTGAGGTGGGGCACCCCTGTATGTAATTCAAGGTACTCGGGAGGCTGAGCAGGAAGAAGGCAAGGTCAAGACAGCTCAAGACCCTGTGTCAAAATAGAAAATAAAAAGGGCCGGAGAGGTACATCAGCAGTAAAGCACACTGGGTTCAATCCCCAATACTGGGGGAAAAAAAAAAAAAGAATACAAGTAACAATAAATGCTGCAAGCACCTTTTAAACATTGTTGGTGGGAACATAAATTAGTATAGCCACCATGGGAATTGGTTCTTTAAAAAATTAAAAATAGAACTACCACATATTCAGCTATACCACTCCTGGGTATATAGCTTAAGGAATTAAAGTCAATATACTAGCTGGGCACAGTAGCACACACCTGTAATCTACTTAGGAGAGTGAGGAAAGAGGATCGCAAGTTTGAGGCCAGCCTTGGCAACTTAGTGAGACCCTGTGTCAAATTTTTTTTTTTTAAAAATTAAATTTAAAAAAGAGCTGTGGGAGCTAGAATTGTGGCCCAGTGGTAGAGCACTTGCCTAGCATGTGTGAGGCACTGGGTTTGAACCTTAGCATCACATAAAAAATAAACAAACAAAATAAAGATATTGTGTCCATCTACAAGAAATCTTTAAAGAAAAATGTAGCTTAGTAGTAGAATGCCCCTGGTTCAATCTCCAGTACCACACATATACAAAAAAGTCAGTATGCTATAAAGATACCCACATACTCATGTTTATTATAATTCACCATAGGCAAGTTATAGAATCAGCCTAGGTGTCCATCAACAGATAAATGGATTTTAAAAATGTGGTATATGTACATAATAGAGTATTATTAACCTATAAGAACAAAATCCTGTCATTTTCAGGAAAGTAAATGGAGCTACAGAATATGTTAAGTGAAAGAAGTCAGACTTAGAAAGACAATTATTTCGTGTTTTCTCTCATATGTGGAATCTAGGGGGAAAAGATGATATAAAATCAGAAGAAAGACTATTAAAAAAAGGAAAAGGATAGAGGAGATCAGAGCGTTTGGTGATGGGGAGTGGAAATAATCAAAATGTCATACACATGTATGAATATGCCACAATGAAACCCATTATTCTATATATTTAATATGCTCTAATAAAAAAGAGTAGGGCTGAGTGTAGCTCCGTGGTAGAGTGCTTGCCTAGCATGTGCAAGGTCCTGGGCTTGATCAAAAAAATAAAAGAGTGACAGAGAGAGAGAGAGGTTTTATTTGAGAATAAGCTCAGCTGGAAAGAGGTTTGATTCTGATTTTAAGTTTGCTAAGGGGATAAATATCTCTATGCTGTTTTGTACAAAAAATGTTCTGTGTGTATGTGTGTGTGTGTGTTTCTGGGGTTTGAACTCAGGAGTGCTCTACCACTGAACTACATCCCCAGCCCTTTTTATTTTATTATGAGACAGGGTCTTGCTAAGTTGCTGAGGTTGGCCTTGCACTTGTGATCCTCCTGTCTCAGCCTCCCCAGGTGCTGGGATCACAGGGAGGTACCACCAAGCCTGGCTTCATTCTCTTTTCTGAAAGATAACTACTAATTACCCTGACTTCCAACAACAGCAAATAGTTTTGTCTGTCTTGAGTCTGATGTACACAGAACGCTGCCATTTATACTCTAGTGAATGCCGTCTTCTACTCAGTGCTACTTTTGCAAGATTTACCCATTTAGTTGTATGTAGCTGAAGCTGGTTCATTTACATTTCTGCTTAGCATCGTGTTGCATGAATAGGCCACAATGCATTCATCCTGTCTACTGTGGATGGGCACTGGACTGCTTCCACCATGGGGCTATTAAGCACATCATGATAAAGGTTCTCATGAACCTCTAAAGAACATGTGTATACATTTCTATTGTGCATTTACATAGAAGTAAGATTGCTGGGAAAGTGGATATCCAGCTTTAGCAGATGCTGTCTAACAGGTTTTCCAAAAGGTTTATCCAGTGCTTATTTTTATAGCATCCTTTTACAGGGTTGGTTCAAAAACATAATAAAGCATATCCTACACAGAACATGAACTGCCCATAAAAGGCTCCTAAGGGAGCCCTCAAGCAAAGTGGCTTCAGAGGTTTTTGACCTTCTCCAGTGACAACAGTTGTTTCTCAGAGGGACAAATACATCTCGGAAACCTGAATTCTATGGTCATCCAGTCTCGTTTCCTCTCAGAACCTCAGACCATTTCAATACCATCAGTAAAGGGAACCCACTGATCTTCTGGAGTCACCTACTCCACAGTTCAAGTTCTCATGAATCCCTTTCTCTTCCTGGTTGCCTCCCTCTGAGCCCTGGATCTGCCCTCTTCATGTCAGTCCTCTGAGTTTTGATGGTGGTACTGAATCCCCACTTGTCCTGGCCCAAGCGGAAAGTCCCAGTCATGACCCAGAGTAGAGCCTGCCACTTGCACTGCCCATGTCCCTGGGATCCAGAGCTCAGGATGTCTGGTCTGTGGCTAGGCACTCGGATTCTTTTTGAGTCCTGTGGTTCCTGGCTAAGAAAGCAGGTTCCTGGGGAAGCAGCTGAGAAGCAGGCTAACCGCCTCCTCTTCCACACCTGCCCACAGAGGCAGGCAGACTCACTTTATCACCCCTCCCACAACAGGGTCAGGCTCCACCACCCTCCTGTGTGAGGCCCCCTGTAACAGACTTAGACACTGTCCTGCCTGTCCTGGCCTGAGGTGTGACTGGGCCCTGGGCCCCTACTCTAGCACATACCCTGCCAGCAGTTCACTTACTGACTCGGTAGCCCAGGCCTTCTGCATGAATCCTCTTGGCCATGAATTGTCCTTCGATCAGTGCTCGAATCTCCACATCTCTGGGGAATGCTGGGACCTGATTCCAGGAGAAGGTAGGCACACAGTGAGGAACTCCCAACGCCCATTGGTGTGCAGGTGTGTGTATGTGTGTGAGAGAGAGAGAGATCTTTTTCAACAACACACCAGAATTAGAGTAGCTGGTCTCTTCAACCACTAACTTCACCTGTCACATGCACAAACAAAAAGAAACAGAGAGTGAGAGAGACACGCGCATCTCACGTGTGTAACACTTTAGGGAGTCAGAGGCCTCACAGAGCTCAGTCTCAGGCAGCCAAGGGTTAAAGTCTGACTCCACCAGTCAGTTCTGTGATCTTGATTTGTTTCCATCTTGCTGAATGTCATTCTCTTTCTTAACAAGACTGAGGTAAGAGTGGCACCTGTTTTTTTTAGGCTTGTTATAATGACCGTATTAAATGACAGCCTGATAGATGTAGTTAATACTTGATAGGTGAGAGCCATGAGCTTATGCTGAAAGCCCACGGCTGTGGAGCTGAGGGGCATTGGTCAAGCTAATACTGATGGGTGTCACCCCCAAGCTCTACCCTGTCTTTCTAGGACCTGAGACCAAGAATAGAACCTGCAGCCTCCCTCCCTCACCAATTACTATACTCTAGCCTAAACACCTACTTCCAGTTCCCCAATTGCTCCCTCCCTGGAAGCTTACTCCAGCCCACAGTGAGAGCCTCCCCATCCTTCAGGTCTTAGCCTAAGGGCCCTTTTTCAGAGAGGGCCACTCGGATCACACCACATGGGCAAGCCCCAGCTCACCTCCTGCTCTCTCCTGCATCACCCCTGGAGTGGTGTATGTTTTCCTTTACCTGCTTACTGTCCACCTCCTTTCTAGACTGTGGACTCCACAGAGCCAGGACCACCTGTGTCTTGCCCTCCTTTGTGTCCCTAGCGCCTGACACCAATCAGACATGTCTGCTACCTTCTCCTTGCCAAAGCTGGGACTGACATGTCTAAGAGAGCAGACCTATCTTCTCTCTCTCTCTCTCTCTCTGAACAGAAACCAAACTGATCACATCAGAGGACCAAGAGGAACTCCCTTCATTTCATATAAAGTCACTATGGTTTGGATCATAAAGGTCATGTGCTAACAGCTTGGTCCCCAGCTGACGGCACTGTTGGGAGGTGGTAGAAACTTTAGGAAATGAGGCCTAGTTAGAGGAAGTAGGTGGTGGTGGAGAAATGCCTTTGAAGGGTTTATTTTGCCCTCACCCCACCCCCTGCTTCCAGGTCACCACAAGATAAGCAGCTTTACTATATCAGGCCTTCCCTGCCAGAATGTTCTGCCTCACCAAAGGCCCACAGTCAACCAAGCCAAGTGACCATGGGCCAAAACCTCTGAAACAGTGAGCCATAATAAATTTTTCCTTCTTTAAATTGTTTTTCTCATGTATTTTGTTACAGTGGTGGAGAGTTAATTAATTTGAAAGCTTTCCATTTAAACCAAATATATTATGCCACTGTCAGCCATTTTTCCAATACCAACCTGTTACAATGATTAAATAGTGTCTTAAAGAGGTTCATCCACATTCAACGGGATCACAGCAACTCTCAGATCCAACCCCATATGGGATAATGACCATTGGGTAACTATCAGAAAAGTCAATCCAAACCCATTGACTAAATCCCGCCTGGGAGAGGCCATGTGGTGAAGGAAAAAGAGAACAGTGGCTTCTGAGGCAGAGAGAATTGGGACTGTGCCTCCTGCATTCACTGTCACTTTGTGACTTTGGGCAGGTTAAGCCTAAGCCTCAATTTCTCCATCTGTAAAGAGGAATAATCATGCCTACCTCCTGGAATTGCTTTAAGAAGTAAATGAAAGATTCAGAAAACCACAAACACAGTGCCTGGAACCAAACAGTGCTCAATAAATGGTAGTATCTCCCATCCCATAGGTTTTTTTCTACAAGGAAGCAATTTTTGACCTTAAAATCTATGAGCCATGGGTAGGTTTAGGGTATGGCTCAACAAAGAAACAAGCGCTATGACACTCAGTAGCAGTGTTAGGAGCAAGTGTTAGCTCAGAGAACACTCAGGTTTCCCATGCTCCTCCTTGGGGGAAAGGGTGGTGTCTGTCTTAGACCCTGCTGCCTACCCCCCTCGAGAAGGTGGGCTACACGTGCAAAATTTCTGTTTCACCAGTGGATGGGGGGAAAAGAAGTCCCTAAAAGTAGCACAAGTTGACAGGCAACTGTTAAATTTAACACTCAGAACTGGAATCAATGCAGCTAATAACATACCTACCTCATGGTTTTCTGCATTAAACCTATGACGCCCAATAATTTCAGGGGTGATCTCCATTACATCAAAATAAAAACCTGAAACAAAACCAGGAAGAGATTAGCTGTCAGGCATCAAAAACAAAGATTAGCTTCTCAACAGACTTAGAAAAGGGCAAGGTGAAATGACCCGTATCCATGTCCACAGAGGAGCCTTGGGAATATTTTCAGTTCCTTCTTTCCATCAGAACAAAAGGAGACCCAGAAAGGCCCAAGACAGGTTTTCCTAGAAGTGACTTCCTACTCCCTCCTGGCAGCCCATTTAAAGAAATGGCTACCCAACCCTCCTGAAATACCAACAGAGGTTTCACCAAGGGAGGCACATCCTCTCCCTGCTCAGAGGCCTGCCCAGGTGTTGGGTACCTTTCCTAATAGAACCTTGAGTCCACGCAGAAAGCTGTGTATGGGGAAGCACCAGGGTAGGGGAGATATTATGGATGACATTTCTGATCCTGTCACCGGGGGCTTCAAGGAGGTCACAAGAGGCAGCTATGGCCTGACCTCCACCGAGTACACTGGGCAGTGGACAACTGCTATCAGGGCCCCACTCTCACTCAGAACATGGGATAACACATCAGCTTGTGAGGTCTATGGAGTAGAAGTACAGACAAACAGGACTCCCCTGGACTTCTCCATGGGCCTCCTCTCCCCCAACTCCTGGGGCTCCAGACCCTACCCCTCCAGCAAACAGCTACAGCCCGTTAGTAGGCCCAGGCATCACTAAACAGCCTACCCAGGTTTCCGCCGTTCCCCATCTCTGTGGACTGCAGTGCCTTAGAGAACTCACTCCAGGAACAGGAAGCACATTCATTGCGGATCTTCTCTCTCATGAGGGAGCCATTTTTAAAGCTGCAGAAGTGTACACAACTCTGAGCACTGGACCCATGGGTTTTGGAAGAGTCTCAGGCAGAGAGCCTGCGGGTGAGGCTGGACCATAGCCTACAGGGAACCAGAACCTCCAATGTCTGAGGCTCTGACCCAAGTTCCAGGATCCTGGCACATCCCTAAGAGGAGTTGGAATCACTTATCTCAGGCTGTTTACACAGGAGGCTGCCACAAAGGAGCCCAGGCAGAGTCAGGGAGCTGGGGTATCTATACAACAGGGTGGGGTTGATAGGCTGACTAACCTACAAATCCTCCACAGATCTTGGGGCTTAGCTTCCTAAGGTTTCCAAAGGCTTATGGTCAGATCACAGAGCCCAGGCCTTCTGTGAGAATGGTCAGGAAGCAGTATGTCCCTCTCACTATTTGATGAGGGTCTACCATGAGCTAGGCACACCACAACACTATCAAGTCAACAATCTTATTCTCTCCATTTTATGATGAAGGTATGGCTGAGATGTGCTATGGGGTTTGCCCAGCATCACACAGGATATATAAGTGGTAGGGTCAGAATTTGAACTTAGGTTTGGAGGACCCCAGGTCTTAGGCTTTTCCCCACCTAACTCAGATGTTGGCAAGAGCAGATAGGTCCCGGGGGTCTCAGTTGCCCATCTGAGCCTGCTTAGTGGAATGACTTGAGGTGCCCAAGATGTGCCAGATCTGCCCATCCCTCCTTGGCCTCACCCCAGGGAATGGTAACAACCCACACCCAGGCTTACCACAAGAGTGCCATGTAGTGCTGAGGGTCAACTGGATTGCAGAAGATGTGGCCTTCTAGGGCAGGTGTGGGCTCCTGGAGCCAGAGAAATAGGGTGTCGCTGGTGCCCAGACTGACCTGGGGCAAGAAGGGCAGAGTGAGGGGCTTGGGGCTTTGCTTGCAAATGCTTCTTTTCTGCCAGTGATGTACTTTGCACTTCTCCCATCTTGACTGCATCACTTCACTCCTCGTATTGCAGGCCTCACTTGAGATGAAATGCTACTTCCTCAGACACCTCGTCTGACCCTCCCATACCAGACGAGTCAAAAGTCAGCTCCCCAGGTCCAGGCTCTTGTGGACCTCCTTTACTAACTTTCTAGAACTTACCATAACTGCATCAAAATAATGGTGTAGGTGGTTACTTTTCCCAAATGACTTCTTTGCTAGATGCAGGAAGGCATGAGTTACATCCTCCTCTTCACCCGGGGAGCTCTCAGCCCTCATGTCTGACCCTTGGCCACTTTGCCCACCAGACTGGTCACCACTGAGCAGGCAGGGTTTTGTCTACTCAGTAAAGAGTGATGACCTTCTAAGGAAGGAGATGTAGCACCCCCCATACCCTTTAAGGAACAGAAGACCCTCTAATAGATAGTAAAGATGCTAAGACCCAGTACACTGGTCCCCAGGGCAGAAAGAGCCTGTGGGAATGAGAAGTCACCTTACCGCAATGTCACCTTCCTCCAGCCTCATGCCTGCCAGTGACGCTGAGAATGGGAGGGGAGCCTCTGGTTAGCTGGAGGCCACACAGGAACCACGAAGCAAACCACAGTGCCCCCCAGACAACAGCACAGACCCCTATCTCCCACTCCAACACAGGAGCAGGGCAAGCTGATGGCTCAGAGGCCCAAGAGAAGGTTGCAGGGGTCAAAGGGTAGAGTCTCTGTGGTCATGAACTCTGATCTGGGCTAGGAAGTCTCTTCCCTAAAGGGGTTCAAACTCCACACCACTGTCAGGCACTCTAAGGAGTGCTGAGAACCAAAGGGGCCAGGACGAGACACCAAGAATACACAGCAGAGAAAGATGAAAGCAAGGCAGAGTGTGCACAGGAAGGGACCAAGGTTGTGCAGATTGTCCCCACCTTAGATGGGAGGACCACAATAGCAATCCTTATCTGCATGTTTGCTGGTGTACCCCAGTACTAAAAGAAGACCTGGTATATAAGCAGGTGCTCACTAAATGCTCAGTGAAGGGACAAATGGCTGAACAAGAAGTGGGGGGAAGAACAGGCACATTCAAGCTCTTCCAGTGAGATGCAGTCAGCAGTGGCTGCCAGAAGCCTTGGACCCAGGAATACCACCTCTGAGAACTGATCCTGTAGTGACAAAGGGACAGGGCAGATCATGCATCTCAGGCTGTCTACACTGCCCAAGCATTAGAAGAACACCAACCTCCATCCACAGGGGATCAATGAAATAAATTCTGGGACAGCTGAACCTTGGACCACCAGGAAAATGAGGTTGCCCAGGTTGATGAGAAAAAACAAAAAAACCAACAACAACAACAAATAAACACCGCTGCTTATTTATGAGCATAGGAAGAAACTGGAAGGGGAGGCATCACAATCTTAACCCTAATTTGGTATTTGGTGGCACTTCAGGAAGGGGCTGCTTTACCTAGGGTGGGGCTGAGGGCCAGTGGTCAAGGTGCTACTCAGTGTGGCTCACCTGGTCTTTATCCAGGAACCTCAGAAGCCCCTTTGAGGAAAAGCAGAGAGGCCATGGAAGGAGACAAAGTGTCCAGGTGAGAAATGAGTCATTTATAGATCAAATGACCTGGCAGAGACTCAAAACCTGGTCCTAGAGGAGGGGAAGAGGGAGCTGAGGCATTAGCTTGGAATGAAAAGAGGCTGGGGGTGAGGGGGCACAATGACCTTCTTTCATCACCCCTCACCTGGAGGGAGCAGACGGACTGGCAAAGCAGTTCTTGAGGGTAGTCAGGACCCAACTGGGGCAGGGACAAGGAGGCAGGTTTTGAAAATCAAAAGGGACAGCGCAGAAGGGCTTTTACCAAGAGACTGAACTGGAATTCTCAGAAGTGTAGCATAGACCCTACAGGTCCAGCAGGAGAGGGAAATCCTCCAGAGCACTCACCTGGATTGTCACCAGTGAAGGCCACTACTTTGCATCCTGGAGGAAATCCATAGCGCTGGACATAGTAGGAAGAAATGGCTCCCTGAGGAGAAAAAGCATGTGTGCTCTGTTGAGATAAATCCCGCCTACTCAGCACAGCTGTCCACATCTCAGGCCATGAGAATGTTCCGGGGCTCTGGGTTGCTGGAGCTGAAGGAATCTTCTGCAAAGCCTGGGGGTGTATCACTCCCTGTCACAAACCAGGCACGTCCTTTCTATTCACAAATCGCTGGAGGAGCCTAATGCAGGTTTGAAACCACAAGCATCAGGACCGACAGAAGACCATTTATTGGATTTTGAGAATCAGGGCAGTTAGAACAAAACAATCCCCAACTTGTACCTGCTTTGTAAGCTCCAAAGTCTGGATAGAGCATACAAAAAAAGTAACACAGCACCAGTTTAAAAAAAAAAAAAAAAAAAACTCATGGAAGTTGATAGTACCTTACATACTTACTTATGATCCCAGCCACTGGATTATCAATAATCAGATATGCTAGTGCAGAGAACAATGTTCTAAAGAAAATAAACTAAAAAATGGCAGTGGTGGGGGAGGGGACCCATCCAGGAACCACAAGACACTATGGGATAAGAGCATAGGATAACCCCCAACAGATGTATATGCTTGAAAAAGCAGTTATAAAATACAGAACATGTCCTCCATTCTTTGACTATATTGTAGTTTCAAAAGTTTAAAATAAATGAAGATTTCCTGGTGTCTGGGAAGAAAATTTTGCTCCAGCCAGAAAAATTTTAGATGCCCATCAGAACAAGCTAATACCTGGGAAAACTGATATCTCTATTCAGAATGCCTCCGAAACCAGAGCCTGAGACAGGGCTGCATGCAGGTGGTTTGTTTGGGGATGTGATCCCAGGAGGCAGGAGTGGGGACTAGAAAAGACAAACAGGGAAGGAGGGAAAGTTGGCCCAAGAATCATCACTGTGGGCAACTGAGGCTCAGGCCACAGAGGAACCTCCGAGAGCTGGAAATGGACCTGAGGAATGGCCTCCTGGGGACAGAGAGGGAGGAGCGGTTAACCATCCACAAGGCTCCCTCACCTCACTCATGACAGGCGTCCTATGGGGTGTTAACATCTTGCACCTCCAAGTTCCCAGAACACAAACACAATCAGAGAAGCCCCAGAATGGAAAGTGAGGAGATACAGCTCAGGTAGGGGGCAGCAGGGGACACCTGTATTGAAGCCATAATGGCTTCCCCCATCGTGTGATATCTGACAAATGAAAATGCATCTTTTCAAAAATCAGTTCTCACTGCTTATCTCTGTACAGGCTCCTTCTTGGAGTCACTCATTCCTGGTTCACAGCAAACAAAGCCTGCTTCCCTGGACAAAATGCTGCTCTCCATTTCACCTTAAACTAAAAGCCACGCATGGGATGGATGGCAACCCCAGGGATGAGGCTGCTTTGTCCTTCTGACATGCATGACCTATCTAGCTGGGTCTCGCACCATTGGCTCCTCTGGGGCAGGCTGGTTTTTCCTTCAGTCCTGTGCACTGGCCTCCATGGCACACTTTGTGTTATAGGGGTTTGGCTGTGACATCCTGCCCCATAACGGTAAAGGTGATTTTCATCATGTCAGTGAGAATCCTCCAAAAAAAAAAAAAGGGCTTCTGTGGTTGAAAGTCCCAGTGGAGAATACTTCCCCAAACTCCATCTTCCTGGTGGCCTGTCCCTCTAAGCTCCATGATTCTCTGCAGGCTTCAGGGCTACTTCTCCTCCCTTCACACCCAACACTCTCACATGGAGTTCTTCCTGGTTATTCTGGCCATGTGCCATGTGTACCCCATCAGAGGACCCCAAGGGCACCTCCCAGGACTTTTTCTACTCCGTTATCCCCCCAGGACAGCCAAGAACAGGGCCAGCCAACCAGGGCCCACCAGGATGTTCAACTGGGTGGTACCACACTGACGATCAAGTCTTTTTTTTTTACCCATGTTACCAAGCACCATCTTGAGCACTTTAAATATATCATAATTCATCTGATTTTCACAGTAGCTCCATAAGAAAAACAGTATTCTTCCCATTGTTCCAGATGAGGAAACTAAGGCACAGATTAAACAGAAGCAGTTCGAGGTAGATCTAGAACTCAGTCCAAGCAGTCTATGCACATCCGGGTTCCCTGGCATTTCTATTTCCCCACAAGCCTGCCTGCTTCAAGCCTCAGTAGTAGTCCCAGTCCTAGAATTCCAGCAGTCTGCATTTTTTTCCTCAGGTATGCAATCACCCTGAAACTCACCCCTGCTATGAGCCAGCAATCTATACATGCCCCTGAGTCCTGCTATGTGCAAGGTGCTGATCCAGGTACTTTACTTTGACGTACATCAAATTCTTGTCTTAGACTAAACTGAAAGCCTCATGTGTCCACGCCTGTGAGTAAAATGATGAATGGGTGTGCCTGCACAGACGTCAGTGCTTCCCTGTAGCTGCCAGCTCTTACAGGAGCCCCGATGAATAGGTAGGTTAGTCAGACAGTAAGCTACAAGCAGACAGTTATAGCAACAGGCTCCCAAAAGATTTCTCTAAGTAAATGCAAAGTGCGCACTACTGCATATAAACGGATGGCTCTGTCTAAACATTCCAAGCCTTATTATCACCCCAAATCCTTTGACTCAAGAGAAGTAAGAAAAGGGAAGGTGGAACAGCTCTGTGTGGAAACAGATAATTTCAAACTCAAGGGCTAAAAGGGAACAAATCATCAGAATGTCACAGGTCTGACCCATGAACAAGTCACCTTCCTGATAACCTAATTATCATAAAAGGACCAATAGGTTTGGCATTCTTTTGGTACCTGATTAGCATAAACATTTGAGCAACATCCCTACCCAGCAGTTATATAAGCCCCTAGATTGGTACACTTTGGTGGCAATCCTCTATTAGGATCTCTCTCACTCAGCGAGAGCTGTCCCCTTGGTCCCTCCTTTGTCCGTGAATTTCATTCTTCCAAGTTTGTGAGAAAAGCACCTGAGAAGGAATTGCTGATGGTTTGCTATTAACTATAACACTGTAGAGCTAAAGAAAAAAGAACACAAATGGGGATTGTAATGGCAGAAAATCCAATTTAACTGTAGTTACAAAAGGGGGCACCTACCACAACTGAGCATGATGGTACCGGTGCTCCGAGCTTCTCCTCTAAATGAGGGGCACAGGCACCAAGGCAAGTCTGGGACCAGACTTTGTCTTGGATCTGTAACAGATTCATTCCAGAACCTGAAAAAGGAAGGAAACAGACAAACAAACAACAACAACAACAAAATAGAAACCTGTGAGAAAAGAACCTTTGGTGAAAATTGGCAAAAAGCAGATAATTATCTTACAGCCAACTGGTGCCTGGGCCTCTTAATTCATAGAACATCTGTCTGCAACATACCACACTGTTCTTGAACCAGAGAACCAGAGGACAGCAGGATTCCTGGAGCACATGGAGCATCCCTTCCTCTAAATGTCCTCACAGATCAAACACCACAGGCAGCCTGGAAATCTGTTGCTCCACATATTACTTGGGTTTCTTTCTTTTAATATTTATTTTTTCGTTGGACACAATATCATCTTTTTTTTTTTTTTTTTTTTTTTTTTTTAAATATTTTATTTTTTTTTTAGTTCTCGGCGGACACAACA